ACTGTAATTTTGATGCAGTGAGATTCAGTTCTTTAGGTCTGTACTTGCAAATGCTGATTCCTTCCATCCTGACTTGTGCCTCACTAAACAAGCCTCGCTAGATAATCTCTACATAGAGGAGATCTTCAGCACACATTAAAGGAGCAAAAGTATATTCTTTTATACTATGCATAACAAATATTTAGCACTGTTTGCAAATAGTGGAAATAATTATTTGTTACTAAATCTGGTAATTTGAAGATATTTTAGCTGTGATCACTTACATTCCGTAATACCTGGAAACAATTATAAAACTTTGCAATTTGCATTTGGTTGGTGTTTTGCATGCCTCAACTCCATTAACATAGAGCTGACAACTTGTAGGACAAAAAATATTATTCATGCCTTCATGACTGCTAAGGTCTTCTTGTGTGTGTGTTTGCTATATGCATGTGCAGATGGATATGTTCTAGGCATACACAGAACCTTCTTCATTTGTTGTTTTTAAATGTTAAAAAAAAATCAACATTTCACGCAAATGACTGAGGAACAGCATGGAAAATTCATTACAGCAGAAGCAGGGTCAAAACTTGGACCAGCCCTTTGGAGCAAACTGAAGTATCTTGCAGGATATTCAGAGCTGGCCATTCGCCAGCTTGCTCAGGGACCAGAGATGCTCAGTTGGATGGATCAGGGGGACAAAAAGGACAAAAATCAAGAGGTGTTCATAAAAAAGAGAGAGGAGAAGAGGATATATAGCAAATGATATCACACTGAAGAAAAACAGCAATAGGAGATATCATACAAAACATTTCTGAAAATGAAAGACTTAACATTCAAGAATGAAAGAAAAACAGAAAGAAAGGACCTTTAGATAACTTTTCTTTCCGTGACCATATTTTATGTTGCTACAAACAATGAAAACATCAAAACCAGCCTAGAGTTAGATGGAGAAAGGTAGTGCCACCTACCCAGGTCAAAGACAACATTTCTCAACCACCTTTATTTCGTTTTTAAATCTGATTTCTAAATCAGTCTCTTTTTCACATATTCACGTGGCTGACACAATTGAGTAAGATACTACTTTAGCTAATCTGGAGAAAGCAAGGATAGTCCCCCCTAAAAAAAAGATTCAAAATACGTTTTTCTCCTTTTGGATAGATTTCAGAGGGAATAGGATGCTGAGAGAACCTGGGTGCAAGCCCAGACACACAGCACGACAAGGACCAGCAGCCCGCAGCCATGAGACTCAAGTTTGTGTCCCTGAGCCTGTATTGGTGCTGCAGAAGCAAGTGCAGTCCTGATTTTCTTTTGTTGTTTAAAGAAACCACAAAGGCATTAAAGTTGAGTTTTGGACAGACTCAGAGATTTGCATGCATTATTCAGACGCGAACATTTAAGAAGTACACATTTGTCAAACATCTATGCGATCCTCAATACTTTTCATTAAATAGCCAATATAAATTCTGTGAAACTCTAGAATGTCACTTACCACTTGAACTGCTTGAGCTGTCTGAAAGAGTAGATTTCCCCCTTGTTTTCTTTTTATTCCATTTGCAAATTTAATGACACTGGAATTACGAAATAAATGGTTTCTCGTGAATATTTTGTGATTGGTGGAAAGGCATCTTTCAGTATTTATAGAGGTCTTATCCTAAAAAAAAGACTGCAATAATTTATTAATGACTACTTTGGTAAGATGTCTAAATTTTAATTCAAGAAAAGTTAATCATGTCTTACCAATTGCAATGGTTTGTTACTTTTCTTTTTCCCCTAAAGTTGTCAAAATCTTCAAATATCTTCCCATCTTTAGCTTTTTTCTATCTCTTTGTGCAGTATTTTAAGGATCCCATGATCAGGAGGCTAGAGCTTAGATCATAAACTGATGAATTATGAAAATAACATTAAGTATTTTCCTTTATTTTCCTTTAAATATTTCACTTCCCCGCGTAGGACAGAAAATCTGGAGCCTGTGCTCAGAAATACCCTCAAAATAAGCCTCCAAAGCTCTCCAGAGAAAATCTTAAGTTTTCAGCTTGATGTCCCATCTTGTGACTCGTGAAGATCTGCCAGCAGCTTGCAGCTAGCCCGGCCACACCAGGCTCGGCCGCCACGCGCGCTCACTGCAGAGTCGGTCGGCATCGCTTCTCAGCGCGGCAGCCTTTGATCAGGACTTGCTGGCTGATGCCTTGGAGATTATCAAAGTTTAGCTTTTTGCAAAGAGCACAGCTTTGAGCACCAAATGTTGAACACGCATAATCAAGGCACACATATTTTCTGATTCATAACGAGTTATCGGAGCGCTGCCAGTAACACTCAGAGCAGGAGTGCGGCAACGCAAAAGTCTCCAGTAATTTCCCCTCACTTGAGCCCAGCTCACCCTCATTCCTAGCTATATAGCCAATATTTTCATTTACAGACAGCAGTTCACTCTCACCACCTACAAAGGGAATGGTAGAAATGGTTCTAGAGGAGGTCACAATAAAAATAAAACAAATTTTGAAAAAATAATAAAAAAGGCATTTAATGAAAAATCTTCCTAACTTCCACATCACTGTATTTGCTATCTACATGATATGTGTGTGAGTGTGTGTGCATGTGTGCGTGCACCCTTATGTGCATGTGCGCATGGG